GTTAATTATGATTGCAGTACCTACTGTACTAACGTGTGCGAGAGACTGAGCAAACTACTTGCTAAGGTATGTCAGCCATCAGCTGTTATTAAGCTTAGCCAATTACCCTGTACTATAGTACGGGGTATTTGCTAAATATTATTACAGCAAGCATTCCCCCGCTCTTATCACACGATATCATCAACCAACATAATTAGCAATGGAAACACTACTGGCAATGATACTGGCATTAGAATCAACCAACACCACCACTACTGATAGTGATGATTCCAATGATGGTGATACTAATGGAATGTGTACTAAGATTAATGGAGGGAAAGTTGCAGGTGACTGTAATAAAGGAGTAAGTGTGAATTCATCTGCTGGGATCATATTCTCATCAGATAAGCAGCAGCAACCAGATATCAGTCTGAATGGAGCAGAGGAGGTGGGTGGAGCTATATCAGAACGTAATATGGCGTTTTGGCCTTTTGTCACTTTATTTAACCATTTTTAAGGGTAATTTGAATCATAATTGATCTAATTTTACATTTTTTGTGTTCCATTTGTAGGTACCGTCAAGGATCTCAAGTCCTTTTTTGTAGGCGGAGTTGACAAATTGTCATCAAATTTACATGAATGAACATTAAAGGTAAAGCACACATGCTATTGAGATAATTTTACAAATATTTAATGGACTTGTATGTGCCTCACGTTCAGAAGAGGTCATCGTGGGGGGTGGAGTCATGCATCCCATCTACTATGGCGATTAGGCCTTTTGTCACTTCATTTAACCGTTTTTAAGAGTAATTTCGATCATTATTGATCTAATTTTACATTTTTGTGTTCCATTTGTAGGTACCGTCAAGGATCTCAAGTCCATTTTAGAGGGCGGAGTTGACGCCTTGTCTTCACATTTACATGAATGAACATTAAAGGTAAGGCACACATGATATTGAGATAATTTTACAAATATTTAATGGACTTGTATGTGCCTCAGGTTTAGAAGAGGTCATCGTGGGGGGCGGAGTCATGCGTCCCATCTAATATGGCATTTTGGCCTTTTGTCACTTCATTTAACCGTTTTTAAGTGTCATTATTGATCTAATTTTGCATTTTTGTGTTCCATTTGTAGGTACTGTCAAGGATCTCAAGTCCATTTTAGAGGGCGGAGTTGACGCC